TATAGCCCGGAAAAACCTACAACAACCCTGTAATATTTTTTGTTTACGAAGTTGAGAACCTAGGCTTCCCTGGTCTGGTTAGGGAGTGACACCGATGGATCTAGTTACTTCTGAGACAGATGAATGGTCCCTTTCAATTCTCCAGAGATCTGTCTTGCCCAGAAAACATATGGCTGTGATTACCATATGTGCTACAGCTGGCTGGGATCTTTTTGTTCTCAGTGGCCATGGTACGAAATGTCCACATGTAGGCTTCAATTATCGACACCATGCCTAGGGCCCTGTGTGCCACCCAAGACCAAAGAGGCCACATCAGGTTGTTAATCATGGCTTCCATGGCTGGCCAAGTGATTCTGCACCAAGCATGGGCAATCTTTGTATGGTTTTTAGCTAACACAGGGTTCCAGGAATCCTGAAACCACAGAAGAGGCAGAAAATGTATAATAATGGGTTTGCCCCCAATCATCATAAGAGTGACATCCTAATTTAGGTAGTGAAAAACTCCCCTTTGGGGGTTTTGTGGGGGAGAAAAGCTACAGAATAAGTCTATAAAGCAGACAGTCCTGGGAAAGGTTCTCTATCTTATATGACAAAAAGGAGGGGAAAACCAATATTCCCGTTTTAACATATTTAAGAGCTAATTATTGTGCTTGGTTAAGACCAACATACCTATTGAAAAATTCTTTTCAGACCACTTTGGCTTTTAGGTTTCCATAGATGGGTGGTGATTCACAAAGCAACTGCCAAGAGAGCTTAGTGTTGTCAGTATCGAATCACTTTGGTAGATGCTAATGTAAATGTAAACATATAGTTCAGGAGGAAACCCATGGCCTCTAATAATCCCAATTTGCAGAGGTAGTCTCAATTAAGGTTCTTTTATAATGTTTCTGTTTCAACTCTTTCCACTTTTCCCTTTTGGCCTCAACTTACATCAGTTCTTGCAACTGAGTTCAAAATGTAAAAGTAGTTTATTTAATTCCAGTTTTCACCTGCTTTTGTAATCTATCTGTTTCTCTCTTCCTCCCAACTTCCCCTTTTGTCCTCCCCTGATTTCAATTGCTGAAAACTCAGTGAATTCAGAGGGCAAGGGGAGAAAGCGGGAAGAAGCAGAATATTGTCCTTCCAAGGCAAAAGCAAGCAGTTGCAACCTCTTCTTGCTTGTATGATATCCCTCATTCATAACTTGTGCCATTTTGACCACAGTGATGGTGCTTGCTCATCAGTCTTCTGTTTTCCATCTGTGAAGTGATGGAGGGTATGGTGTATCACTTGACCACATAACTCAGTTCATCAATGAATTAAGACAAACATCCTGGGTTTAAAGAGCCAGGATATGAATAGGATACACTTTTTCCCCCTTTTCTGGTAATATGAGCAAGATCTGTATATGAAAATAGGGATTTTCTCCAAGACCAATGTGGATACCTGAAACCAATGATAATAGTAAAGCCTATGAGTATTGTTGGACCAGAAGCATACCATATCATTGCATTGGAGGACCTAGAGAAGCCCACAAACACTCCTTGTGGGACGGGATATATTTTGGAGTAAGTGAAGGGAATATATTTTGGAGTATTGCCATTAGAATAGGTGAGCTGAAGGATTAAACAAAACACCTTAGCTCAGCTAGTGAGCTCTGGTAGCAATTGGAATGGGGAGAATATGGGCACCTTAACTTTAGAGCCATTTTGCACAATAATAGCCTGATTGTTTTTCTGGCCTTGAGACCCAAAGAAGCACAATTCCTAAATGGTTACACTTTAAGAACTATACAGATTTATGGTATTTCCATGAACACAAACTGTTTCAGGATCAGTGTAGAAGGTTTGTATGAAACCTAAATGAATTTCATGTTTAGACTTGGATCCCATCTCTAAGATATTTCTAGAAAACACTGGGATTTATTAGCAAGGAAAATGATATTGTGTTGTTGAAGGCTTTCATGGTTGGAATCACTGGGTTGCTGTGAGTTTTCCAGGCTGTATGACCATGTTCCAGTACATGGCCATATAGCCCAGGAAATTCACAGCGATCCAGAAAAATGATATTATCTACTCCTTGAGCCCCATCTCAGCTTTCTTCTCCATGAATCTCAGCTGCAGTCATTACAATATATGAAGGGAAGGTACTGATTTACCCAACAATAATGCTTGTTGAACATCCTTTATCTGAATTACTTGGGACAAGGAATGTTTGGGATTTTATTCAGACTTTGGAATATTTGCATCTACTCAATAAAATATCTTAGAGATGGGATCCAAGTCTAAACATGAAATTCATTTAGGTTTCATACAAACCTTTTACACTGATCCTAAACCAGTTTGTGTTCATGGAAACAGCATAAATCTGTATAGTTCTCTGATCTTCCCTTGTTGTATGCAAATTATCTTTACAGTTTCAGTTGTATGTACAACTTGAGAGTGGCTTGCTCTTCCTATTTTTTGAAAAAATATTGCTTTTCATATGCATTACAAAGCTTCCTCCCCATCTTAATTTCTTCCAAGAGTTCATCTCAAGTTATCTGTGATGAATATGATGCATATCCTTCTTGCTTTGTTAAAAGTACCTTTCGTGAAGGTTAAGTGTGTTTTTGGCAATTAGCACAAATCTTGAAAGGACACTCAGGATGCATTAATTTTAAAAAAGACCGCTCATAGTGGAGATGGAAACTGTAAGACATGGTCTATTAATATGATTCAATGCAGCTGCTTGCATTTTTTTTTCACACGAGGATGGAAAACCGATATCCCTATGACACAATATTGTATGCATCCCACTATTGCAGTGGTTCTCAACCTATGCGTCCCCAGATGTTTTGGCCTTCAACTCCCCAAAATCCTAACAGCTAACGGGGGTTTCTAGGAGTTGTAGGCCAAATACCTGGGGACCCACAGGTTGAGAACCACTGCACTACTAGTTTACCCCACCCTGTGAATCTCCCATCCCTAATTATTAATGTGTAAAACTAGTTAATAGCTTCAAAGCTAATAAGGCTTGTATCATCAGCTTTAGACCAATGGACCTCTTCTGCTTCTGTGCCAATATGCCAGCAGTAAAGTGGCACCAGGGGCTGGATTTTCTCCTATCACTCTCCTTCTCCCTTCACTTTTCCAAATCTGGCTGGTTCCCCATATGTGTGTAGACAGAGAGAGAGACAGAGAGAAGTACCTGGGACCGGAAATGTGGGATTTTATTCAGACTCTGGAATATTTGCATTTAAAAAATGAGATATCTTAGAGAAGGGGGCCATATGTATGTATGCATGCATGTATATATATGCGTGTGTGTGTGTGTGTGTGTGTGTGTGTGCGTGTGCACGTACACATACACACATATATAGACACACACACACCCCTTTTAAAATATTATAATTACACAGTTGCAATAAATAGAAATAATAAAAAAACCCAATATTTTGGGAAGGTGAGGTCATGAGATTATGCAGAAATACAATTATAGGATCATGGATTCACAAGTGCAAGTGCATGAAGAGTGGCCTGATGGAATAGTGGCTTTGTGTGACAAGTTGTGCTAATGGAGAGAGGTGTGATATTAAAACCAGATGCGTATCCACTGTCTATACTGCTGCTTCTTCAACAGTGAGGTTCTGACCCCAAATGAGGTTCCCTTACCTTGAGGTTGGGGTTACGAGAAATTTGGCAACAGTCAAAGGTTTCCGAATGCCACCCTTTGACACAAATCTGTTAGTAACAACATGCAGGATTTACAGTGGAAAATTGTGGAGTCCACAAAAAGGAAAATCAACAAGCCTTGCAAATGTGGATTTAGTATCAGTAAATGTCTGGTTTTTATACCTATTTCATTTACCTATATACTCAGAGTCATGTAGAGATTTCTCTGATAGTAAGAGTTTATGAGTAATGAAAGTTTAATAAGCCCTGATGTATACAAGCATGAGTATTTTGGAATACTGGGCTGGTGTAATAATGTCTCTAGACCAGTGGTTCTCAACCTGTGGGTTCCCAGGTGTTTTGGCCTACAACTCCCAGAAATCCCAGCCAGTTTACCAGCTGTTAGGATTTCTGGGAGTTGAAGGCCAAAAACATCTGGGGACCCCAGGTTGAGAACTTAGACTCTCCTTGTGGGTGTAGCTATGGGGCTGTCATTAATGCCTGCAAGTTAAGCCTCACCACTACCATTGACTACATCTGCTATAGTCAGCCACCCAAACTGATTCCATCAGGTAAAGTGGTATCCAGAATCCCCTAGGCATCATCACCTGTGTTGATTGGGGAATCTGGGAACTGCAGTCCAATTTTTTTCTAGGTTCCATCTCAACAGCATTCTTGCAAGGCAAAAGTTCATGCTTTGAGAGAGGGAGCAAAGCTCAGTGCAAAAGCTCCAGGTTTCATAAAGGAAATGGGAAAGTTTAAGGCTGAAAGAGTACCTAATACCCCTCAATGAATCTGTAGTGGAGACAGTTTTTGAAGCCATAAAGGTTTCTGGTCCTCATTCTTACCCATCTACCAGTTCTTATAAACAGAGGGATGGAGAAATCGGATTATTACAGAACAATTAACCTTCCTTCACCATTTAAGAAAAAAACATTCAGAGCTTTCAATTAGCTAGGAATATTAACTAATGACTACTAAGACTACTTCAAGAAAGTAGCAGAGTAAGAAACCCAGCTTAAGAATCAGGAATTCAGTAATCAATATCCGACATCACTAAATCTCTCTAATGGGAAAAACTAAAAACATTGACTTTCTACCGATGATATCTCAAATAGATTTGCAAAATATGGTTTTACAAATTCATGAAGTTGCACGGCTGCAACCCATAGTAAGAAAATGCCAATTTTGCACTTATTCTTCTTTCAGAAAAAATATATTTCCATTTAGAAACTCTTAGGCTAAACATCATTCGTTGCAAATAAACACTTTATTAAAGACAGGTAATGCTTCCTATATATTAGCTGTGCTCTTAAAAGCAATTCTCTCATCAAGTTCCCCTCTTAAAATAAAGCACATGCCACATACCTTTTCTGCAGTACAGCAGCGAACAATATTAAAATCATTGGAGGTATTTCGGACACCCCCGTATCTTCGTTCCTTGAGGTGCGGACCCCAAATGGTACCTTGCGAGAATTTAAACAGTATTTTAGCTTCTAGGCAACCAATTAGAGCCTAGCAACTTAACTGTGACTTCACAAGGTCTTAAACGAAAACTCACTAATCCCCCCTTTTGTCCTTGAAATGATTATGTGCTTTTGCACTAAATTGAAATTCTCCTCATTCAACACTCAAGCAGAATACTAGATAAGTATATTTTATGGCTTGGTTTTGCAAGATAATATATATTATGAATGCCAAGCAAGCTCCTGTGATTACTAGATGCATTCTACCCATATTTTCCTTTTGAGATATTCAGAAAGTGCATTCAAACCGAAAGGTAAAATTTTGGGTGACACCTTTAATAAGATGGACTGATATGTCAGTCTACTTATAATAACTATTCTAGCACTCTTAATCATATCTTTTTGACTGCCTGTGTCACAAGACTTCTATTATCCAGACAAGTCCTGACACAGGAAAAGCTTCTCTGAACATATATGTGTGTCCATACAATCCAACTGTCCCAATCTAGTAAGTACAACTGTGATTACTCCCATTTTGTCCCATTTTTTTTCAACAGCTTTTAAGGCACCCCCAGATGTGCAATGGGTTAAACCCTTGTGCTGGCAGGACTGCTGACCGAAAGGGTAGTGGCTCAAATCCAGGGAACAGGGTCAGCTCCCATCAGTTAGCTCCAGCTTCTCATGCGGGGACATGAGAAAAGCCTCCCACAGGATGTCAACACATCTGGGCTACGTCCTTGTAGACCTCCAATTCTTTCACACCAGAAACAACGTGCAGTTTCTCAAGTTGCTCCTGACACAAAAAAACTTTTAAAATGTCCTTGTTTCGCTCACCTCCCAATTGATTTCTTTCTGTGTTTGAAAAACTGTGCCCAATACTAAATTTTGCTTAATGATATCAACAGGGGATGTTCCAAAATTTCAGGGTTTGATCTAGAAACCTCTGGATCATAGATGGTTCTAAACTGGCAGCCCTAGATACCAGCTGTGGGTTGTTCTGGGAGTTATTGACCAAAAAATGTAACTTTGTTTCATCCCGATTCCAATGATTTTGTTGAAGATCACAGGGGCTGGGACCCTTCAAAGATTAGATGGGATTCTTAAAAAGTCCTGAAAATGCCCAGAACTTCAACCCCCCTGTGACTTATTTACAGGTGAACCACAATCTTAGAAGTTTCCTTGAGAAGCAGCTCATAATTTTTGGCCAGGAAAAGAGCAGTCAGTGGGAGTGGGGGTCAAGCCACAAAACAACCAGGAGGTGTGTGTGCACGCAGCCACAAAACTGCACTTTGCCCACCCCTGCTCTATATAATGACACTATCCATACAGAGGCATTTTGTAAATCATCAGTTGTGTATAATAATACACTCCCAAATACTCCCTTGGTGGTGAATAGATTCCAGCCACAGTTTCAGACTTCTCTTCATTAAAGCTAAATTTGGGATGGAGCCAGACATGTCTGCCTGTCCCAATTATATAAGACCCCTAATCTATTCTGTTTTTAAAGTCACACATATGCAATCATATATAATTATTATAGGTTCATCCATACCAACATTTCACTGATGAAAAGTAGAATATATGTGCCCAAGTATCATTCAAATGTTGTCAAAATGACAACTGTTATTAATAAAGGTAGAATACTTTCTGCCTCGAAAGAAGAAAGTGCAAAAGCTGGGTAGCAGTTAAACATCAAGAATACCAAGATGATGGCAACCAGACTGATTGATGACTGGCAAATAGAGGGAGAAAATGTGGAGGTGGTGACAGACTTCATATTTCTAGGTGCAAAGATTACTGCAGATGGAGACTGCAGCCAGGAAATCAGGAGACGTCTACTTCTTGGAAAGAGAGCACTGACCAATCTCGATAAATTAGTGAAGAGTAGAGACATCACACTGGCAACGAAGATCCACATAAGTAAAGCAATGGTATTCCCTGTAGTAACCTATGGATGGGAGAGCTGGACCATAAGGAAGGCTGGGTGAAGGAAGATAGACACTTTTGAACTGTGGTGATGGAGGAAAATTCTGAGAGTGCCTTGGACTAAAAAGATCAAACTAGTCTATACTCCAGAAAATAATGCCCGACTCACGGGAGGGAAGGATATTAGAGGTAAAGATGAAGTACTTTGGCCACATAATGAGAAGACAGGAAAACTTGGAGAAGACAATAATGCTGGGGGAAATGGAAAAAAAGGAAAAGGGGCCAACCAAGGGCAACATGAATGGATGGTATCCTTGAAGTGACTGGCTTGACCTTGAAGAAGCTGGGGATGGCCAGGGCTGACAGGGATCTCTGGCATGGGATGGTCCATGAGGTCACAAAGAGTCGGAAGTGACTGAATGAATAAGCAACAAACTTTCTGCCTCACTTTACTTTTGCTTAAGCTACTAGGAATGACAAGACTCCATCCCTTCCTCTCCTACCCCTCTGTGAATTTATTCAGTATTTCTCTAGGGAGATGATGCCAATTTTGTAAGAAATAGGTAACTTGATAAATGTATGTAGGGAAACAAGTTGTAGATTTGGACTAATGCAGCAGTTCCCAATCATAGATTTGGACTAATGCAGCAGTTCCCAACCTGTGGTCCGTGGACCACCAGTGGTCTGCAAGAACAAAAATATGGTCCATGGCCTTACCATTACTACACCGTTGCCTCAAAACCACACAGCAAGGAGAGCAACTGGTCTTGTGAAACCCTCTTATAGTGCCAAGGCAACATGGATGTCAGGAGGGGAGAGGCTAACTACCCACAAAAGATTACTACTACCACATCAGCTCTAGATTATTAAATATGGTTTTCTGTGAGCAAGCAGATGGCAATTACTGGATGGCATATGTTCTGTATCAGAAACTAGAGCTGATGTGGTCTATCCAATGCAATTTTCTGAATCAGCACCCCAAAAAACCAAACTGAATCTAAAGCTGACGAAAAACTGATTTGTAACCATTTTGGTACTAATGTTGGAGAGAGGTCCCTGGTCAAAGTGGTCCCTGGTCAAAAAAGGTAGGGAGCCACTGGAGTATTGGATTACAATGGCCAAGTGAGCCTACCTGGTATGTTATTATTGTTGATGAAGGCAGGGCAAATGAGAATCAAATTGTGTAGCATACCAATATATTGATATAGTTGAATGCATCTGGTATGAATTTGTTATTTATTTATTTATTTATTTATTTAAAACATTTATATTCTACCCTTCTCAACCCGCAGGGGACTCAGGATGGAGCACAACATATATCCGGCAAACATTCAATGCCAGGACATTAAACCATAAATATATACAAACATTAAAATAATTTATATCCATATTAAAAGTTGCGTAAAAACTATCTCAGGACACCATTTTGCCTCATTGCACGGCCCCAAAGGCTTGATCCCACAGTCATATCTTCACCATCCTTCTGATAATACCAGGAAGGGAGTTCCATAACTGGGGAGCAATAACTGAGAAGGTCCTGTCTCCCGTCTTCGCCAAACGCACCTGTGATGGTGGCGGGACAGAGAGCAGGGCCTCCCCAGAAGATCTTAGTTTCTGCAGTTTTTGGTAAAGGGAGAAGCATTCAGACAGGTAAACTGGGCCCTCCATTATTATCCCTCCATGCAGAACATCAATGCTTGGCTATCTATATGAATTGCCTTTAATGGATGGAACCAGTTTCTGAAACTTTCTGATTAATTGTTTTTCTGAATGTCAAGTGTCAAAGATCTTTGAGGAAGAGTTCTATCTTGAACTTCTTATCTAGATAATAGAAGTTATCTACAACCCATAGAAGTTCAGGTGACTACAAAGATAGACAATAAGGAAGAGGTCCACTCAACAAGTTCAAAGCCAAAGCTCCAGACTCATATATTGATGGTATGGGGCACCATCCCTATTTCAAAATAACTCAATTTTAAGTTTTAAAAGAAAACCCACATTCTGTTTGTTCTTAATTTCTTTATAGACAGCAGATTCTTTATAAACAGAGCACTTGATTTGTTTAATATCCTAAAAGCATTAGAAGCAACTGTATCATGGTGTGATACCTGGTCTCCACTGAAGTGTTGCTTGGAGATTTATTTTTAATGGACCGTGGCATGCTATTTTTCTTCATTTTTCTGTTCGCAAACTTCACCAATTTTCCCCGGAGAAAGAACAAACATGTTCAGATTTCAGAATGTACTGAGAGGAGACTTGGCAAGAAGTCATTTGCATCCTGGATGGCTTTCACTTACTTTTCATTGTGTCGGTGTGGCTTGCCTCTTATTTGCAGACATATTAACACAAACAGTAAATCTAACATTGAAGGAACTCCCCCACCCACCCAGTGCGTGGGCATAGGCACCAAGTTGTGCAGATCTGTTTATCTTCATTCCTAAGTGTCTCACTGCTCAAGATTGTCTTGTAAGTACATTAACAAAGTCTCAGTCATACTAGCCAAGTATGAAAGATACAAATATAAATATGTATTTTTCCTTAGTAAAGATGTTTCAGGCTCTGCCAAAAATAAACCCTCCAAGGTGACACAAAACTAGATAAAAACAGTGATTATATATCATATTGTAGAGCATGTAGGTATGCGGCTATAAATACATGGACCTAATGGGCACCCTCAAGTGAAAGTACTCATTACTCCATTGAAAAATGGAGCTCTGAAAGCTCTCAGGCTATAATGAAATTATAGATTTGTATTCTGAAGGAAGCTAGTGCTTCAAATAAGGAGGGAGTCTACCACCATTCAGCCAATAGACAAAGCGCTGACTTGTTAGTCACTTTTAGTAAGAATCAGACCATTTATATCTTCTGTTGAAAGATATAAATCAATTCAAGGTATAACCCTCAGCTACTTGATCCTGTACTTTCTTAAAAAGTGGACGCACTATAGGGAAAGAATGTAGAGAACTGTATCTAGAGAGTAAGCATATAGGAACTGCTCTATATCATCAGTTCAGACCATTTGTTCATGTAGATCAGTAGTTTTCAACCTTCCTAATGCCACGACTCCTTAATACAGCCCCTCATGTTGTGGTGACCCACAACCG